AAGTAGATTTGTATAACAAAGAGCTTTGTCTTATAAGCATGTGTTTTACTTACAAAAATATAAGTTAAAGTTCAGGTATCATTTTTGGACATGACTTTTTTGTTCACCTAGATATGTATGCTTCATATTATAAGTACTGTATTATGTATTATGAGTAAAGGTATTATTTTTTATTCTGCTAATAATTCCGAATTTATCTCCTAATTGACAAGTTTATTATATTTAAATAAAAATATCAATTTTTAATTAATTACTAATATAACGTTTACGCAGATTTTAAATTTAATTAGTTACAGTTTAGTGTTATTAAAAATTGGTATATAAAGACTGCTTACAAATTTAGTAAAATCAGTAGTTATTGTTAAATCAGTTGAATTAACAAACATTAATTGCTAACAATACTAATAATTATAATGTATAATCAATTATTTTCCATAGCAGTAATGTTACTGTGTTTATCGGCACAAGCGTTTGCTGCATGGAGGGGGCACTGTGGCAATTCAACCATATTTACCCGTGTAATCAACGGTGATGTTGCAGAACATGGAAAGTGGCCCTGGATGGTTAGAACTAATTACCATAACAATTTGTCTAACCCCAGCCAATATATACCATGGTGCGGTGGTTCGCTGATTAGCGATCAGTGGATACTGAGTGCCGCCCACTGTAGTCATCCCGAGATAAAATCCGTCACTTTTGGTGATTATAATATTAATGAACGCGAAGGCACTGAACATATCGCAAACATCAGTGAAGTTAGTACTAGTTTTATTTATTTCATTATAATGTTTTTTCTAAATATTATTTTAAATACAGTACGTTATTTTATTATTTAAAAATTTTTAATTCAAATGTATATTTAAAAATCATATTTAAGCATCACGTACACCCTGGTTATAATAACACAAATATGCGTGATGATATCGCCCTGCTCAAGTTAAGCGAACCACTAGATCTAATTGATAAGCATAGACTTTTTGAGCCAATTTGCCTGCCATGGGCTGACACGACACTTGGTTTGGGGACTAAGTGCACGGCCACCGGTTGGGGAAGCACCGTGGCCGCATATTATGTCCTCTCAAACGAATTGCAAGAGGTCGAATTAGCAATCGCTAGTAATTCTACTTGTAATTGGGATGCCAAGCGTAAGTAATTAATATTATACACGTAAAAACATTTTTTATATATCTATTATTATATTCTATTATTAAAACAAAATTTTGTTTAATAAAATAATCGTTGCTTTTAGAATATCAGGGCTGATTATTTAAGCTTAATTTAACATTAATTCATAAAATTTATATGATATAATTATTTAACGTGCGTTGGGTTGTTATAATAATTACTAAATATATATAAAGAATATTTCTGTGTGATAAATAATCATAACGTTAACTCATTATTGTTACAGTAATTTTTCAGCAAAATAAGCAATTGTGCGCCGTGAATCATGATAGTAGTAAACATACTTGTAAAGGTGACAGTGGAGGACCCCTAAGCTGTCGACTTGGGGAGGTTGGCTGGGTGTTGGAAGGTGTTTATTCTTGGGGTAACTGCTTGGATAATCCGGATGTATTTACTCGCGTATCCGCTTATATACCATGGATTCAACGTGTTACTGGACAACATTTTAATTTTATTTAATCATGATGATTTAATATAAGTGACATTAGTCATGTTAAATGTTGTAATAAAATAAACGTTTTAATAAAGCATTAGAAAATTCATAAAATGTTTATTTTTAAACAAAGATTGCATTGCAATACGTTTAGTTATTGATACTTAATTAAAATTATGTTTGGTGTAGTATGCTTATGCACAAACATATTTTTGACAAACAAGCAATATAAATTATAGCAATTTTGATGATTTTCCTAAAAATTAAAAAGTTATTAAAAAACAGGCAAAGTAAATTATTTAAAATTAGTATACCAAAGAAATATGACATTGGTAATTTTGCAATAGACAAATCACCGTATTGTTTAGCTTGTTGGACCTGGTCAATGATCTCTGGGTGACGTGTGTTGGCCGACGAGTAAATATATTCAAACTGCATTTGCATTGTATAGTCCTTATTTACAATATTTTGCTCAATATTTTTAAGCAAGTAATACGAAAATAAAGTACCTAACATTGTTTTAGATAAATGGTAACATTTATTTTATTACAAATACAATTTAATTTTAGCATAAAAATAATAGTGTTGTATAATATGTCTGATGTCATCATTAGTTTCGTTTTAAATGAAATTTTAATATTAGTTAAGAAGGCCGGGTAGAAGGCTGTTTGACAATGATTATAAATACAACACTAGTATTTTGAGAAATATTAATGCAAGTAAACTAATTGTTTTAAAAACTCACCATGGCAAACATTTAAATTTTTATCGTCACAAAACGCGCTCCAACTCTCATTATCAATGGCTGTGGCCGACACGGCGTACGCGTCAATGTTATCGGGTAACATTTTATTAAACATTGAGCCTGGGTAAGTAATTATATATATATATATTTAATTTGTGTCAGTAATTAAAATTTTTCTAATCCAATAGCATTCAAATATTGTTATATTTTTACCCGAGGCACAAGTATCTAGGTAAAACACCAACTTGCCATATCTATGATCTCTATGCATTTCTTTTAGTGCGCTGTTTAACTCTTCGCCCAATAAGTACTCAAATGGGAAGTAAATTGTATCTAAAATATATGTTGAGAGAGAGAGAGAGAGAGAGAGAGAGAGAGAGAGATTAAACCATGATTAAAATTTAAATTTAAAACAAACCTGGTGACCCATGATCGGTAAAAAAGACAAATATGTGATCGTCGGGTCCACTGTTGACCACTGGTTTCCCACTCCGGGCTAATGTTTGGTCACCTTTAAGTACACCCAAAAAATTCTACACAAATTAAATAATAGATTATATAAAGTATATATTTATATTAATTACATAGATATTATGTTAACTTACGGTAGGGTTGACATCATCGCCGGTATAGTGTTTGGGCACTCCGTGATAGACATCACTGCCATTCACTTCATTAAATACTTTACCCGGGGTAGGATTGTTTCTATTGTGGGCGATATCATCGTAATGCATAACTATTATGTTTTCATCGGGAATACCGTTCCCACGGAACGTATGGTAAGCGTGATAAATATTGGCCTAGGTTAAATAAAAATTTACATTATGATACATTTACGAAAGTGATGTAATTAACTTACTTGTAAATGGTAATTACCCCAGCCATTACCGCTCGCACATAAGACCACCCATATTTTCCCGTTAAATTCACCATGCGCGTATTTTTCGACAAAAATTATTGAAGCTAGTAATAGTATTAAATTTGAAATATGCATCATAGAACTTTTATTGTGTTTTGCAATATATTAGTTTACTAGATCTACTGTATATTTAAGTTGTAGTAAATTAAACTCATAATGTTTTAAGGCTTATATAGAAAATAACTGTTTGTTTTTGTGGCTGTTAATTTTTCTATGCAGTAATATTCCATAATTACTCAGTGGTTTCTTAATAATTTTACTATTATTGAAATTGACTTATGAGATTTATAATTGTGTATATCACCTGTCACGATAAAATGACATGATTTAATTTAGTTTAATTAACAAGGTTAACTGATTGGGACATATTAAAGTTTCTATACAAAGTTACATGAAGTTATCCATTTACCATTTTTAAAAATATCTTCCAGGAAAGTAGTTCTGCTCCGAAAAATTTATTATATTCCTTAAAATTTTGATAATAGAACAAAAATGTGATCAAACAATGACCAATCGATAATTATAAATATTTGTATCCTATATATTACACGGGTCTTAATATGTTTAAACATAACAGAGAAATAGAATTGGTTAAATCTATTTAATTAGTTTAAATTTAATCATTTTGTAAATTATGTTTTAATTAAAATTTACTAATTCCGCTCAAATGATGACATTATTAACATTATTAAAGTTTTCTCCAAAGTATCCCTATAAATTTTGTACAGGTAATATGGGAATTTTAGGAGTTTCAAATAATGGATAACATTGTGTTACATGTAGCACTATAAAGTTACATGTTATACTTACATAAATCTTAGATTAATACCAACTGTATAAGAGTATATAAATAATTGTATTCATATTTGTAATGTGATCATTCTATAAAGTAAACCAATCATAATTAAATCAGTATAATTAATAAAACTGTAATTGCTTTAGTAAGTTTTAATATTTTAAAAACAACTCTCTCTCTCTCTCTCTCTCTCTCTCTCTCTCTCTCTCTCTTTATTTATTTATTTAAATTTAAATAATTTTTAATTTTTGTACAGAAATGTTATACTTATTATTGGTTATCACATTATGCCTGATATCTGGCATATCTACGATTGATGATTGTCCATCTAATCCGGCCATATTATCACCATGCTTTTGCAGTGCGTATAACGATCGTGTAGACTTAATATGCAGGGACGATAAAATAACTGACATACGCGCAGTATTTCAAAATATCAGCCACAAATTAAACGGCCTAGATAAAATATTTACAGGTCTAATAATATACGCAATTGGGACAGTAGAGTTGCCAGCTGGGGCGTTTGCGGATATTAAGTTCAGTGAGTTTCAAATGACCGGGATACAATCAATCAAACGCATTGACAACCAGGCATTTGCTGGCACATCCCACGTGCTACAAGAATTGTACATGCGCGATTTAAATCTTACTGACACCAATGATATTTTGGCAGTTGTAAATAATTTACCGGAATTGCGCCGTCTACGATTTAATGAAATGCACCTGGGCTCATTTAAACAAAATGCGTTTAAAGGGGCACAAAAATTATCGAGAATTACCATATCTGATGATAGTATTAATACAATAAGTAACCGGACATTCATGACTTTGGGCGGTAATATACGTATGATAGAACTTTTGGCTGTAAACATCTCTACTATAGGCGACCAAGCGTTGGCATTTGACGGACCACTCACACCAAATGTGCGTTTACTTTTTACCCATGATACTTTTTGCGCAGCCATTGTTAGTGAAAATGCATTCACCGGTGGCACTCGACCCGTCACACTTCAATTAGTAACAATACGCAAACATCTTAGTCGACCCCATCTGGATGTTACCGTGTTTTCCGGGTTTATGGCCGCCAATAGGGCTAATAAGTTAATAGCGCACGTGGACTGCGATGATTGCCGTAATCAATGGCTTCAAAAACGGAAGTTTGTGAGACAAGTGATGGGTATTTACTGTACAAATGACCGCTCACTTTATGATAAACTGAATTTTGCCGGATGTTAATGTAATGTTATAATTAAATTTAATAAAAACAATTTCATAATTTAAACTATTTGCTATTATAATGTGTTATATGAATATCTGAATGGTGTAGTATTTTCCGGGTATATGGCCGCCAATTAAGATAATGAGTTAATAAACTTGGTTAGAATACAATGAGTGCCGCAATCAGTGGACATAATATTCAATATTTTTTGCATTTGTATTTTATTAATTTTAAATTTTGAGCATATCTTTTTTTTATAATCTAAACAATTATATTTGTAGATTTAACATAGTTTTGTTGACAATATTGTATCAGCAATTGGTTGACAGCATTGATGTCCGCATCACTCGATTCACGCGTTTCTTCGCATATATTCACAAATATATACAGTTTTCCCAAAACGTATGGATTCTGTCGTAAATTAATTATTATTAATTAATATTTGTTTAAAACATAAAATTAATGAATAGATACCTGATTTAAATTAAAGCAATTATTGTGATAATTATTGACAAATTTTCGATAACACTGTCTATTATTGAGCTCTTGTTTAGTGTTTAGAATAGCATTGCTATCGACTGTCAGTAAGTGTTGAATACTATTCACGTATTCAGACATATGTTTGTCAACATATTGTCTTCCAGTCAATACTTTATGTAACTCTACATTATACCTATTAAATAAATAAATAAATTTATGTTAAAAATCAAAACTATAACATTGTTCATTCAAAATTAAAGTATACCTATTTTTCTCATTGGTATTCAACGCTTCATCGACAGCTATTTTAGCCATATATAGCGGCACATCTCTAGTATTTACCCTATCGTTCAGTGTATTATCTAATAGAATATCATTTCTAATTGATTTTGGTGACTTTCCTAAAAATTACAAAATAATTAAATAACTAATAATAATATTTTAAATTTTAATACCAAAAAACTGTGATATGGGCAATTTTGCGATAGATAAATCACCGTATTGTTGCGCTTGTTGAGTTTCATCAATTATATCCGGATTACTTTTGTTAGCCGATGAGTAGATATACTCAAACTGCTGTTGTAATGTTATTTCATTCCCAAAATCATTAAGTTCAGTATTTTTCATCCAGTAGTATGAGAATAATGTGCCTAGATACAATAAAGTCATTCAGTTATATATGTATTTAATAATATACAATATAAATAATACGTGTTAACTGTAATTTTATTATTATCTAACTCACCATGGCAAGCTTGGAAATTTTTTTCAGTGCAAAATGCCTGCCAACCAAGTTGTTCTGGTGATGTGGCCGACACAGCATACACGTCGATGTTATTGGGCAATAGTTTGTAAAACATTGAGCCTAAATATTATAACAATATAAATATTTATATTAATTCGTAGGTATATGCAGTTTATAAATAAAGACATTTAATAAGTCACGTAAATTATTACCTGATTCGCATGTATCTAGGTAAAATACTAGTTTACTATATCGTTTGTTTAGGTGCATTTCCTGTAGAGCCACATTCAACTCCTCACCCCATAAGAACTCAAAGGGGAAGTGAATCATATCTAAAAACATTATGGTTGAGAGAGAGAGAGAGAGAGAGTTGTTTTTAAAATATTAAAACTTACTAAAGCAATTACAGTTTTATTAATTATACTGATTTAATTAGAGAGAGAGAGAGAGAGAGAGAGAGAGAGAGATTAAATGATAATCAAAATTTAAGTTTAAAACAAACCTGGTGATCCATGATCGGCAAAATAAACAAATATATGATCGTCGGGTCCACTGTTGACCACTGGTTTCCCACTCCGGGCTAATGTCTCGTCTCCTTTAAGTACACCTAAAAAGTTCTGCACAAATAATAATTATCAAACTATTTGTAACTATTATAAAATCTAACAATATATTATGACTAGGGTAAATTATATAATAACATACGGTAGGATTGACATCATCGCCGGTATAGTGTTTGGGCACTCCGTAATAGACATCAGTCTTATTGTAATCATTGTATACTTTACTGGGAGTTGGGTTTACACTATTGTTAGCGATATCGTCGTAATGCATAATAATTATGTTTTCATCGGGAATACCGTTCCCGCGAAACATATGGTACGCGTGGTATACATTAGCCTAGTAAATAAATGATTCAAATTTTTAACATTAAACAATTTTAACTTAATCGTTTTAAAGTAAACATTACTTACATGAAAAGCATAATTCACCCAACTTCTTCCACCTGAGCATAACACTACCCATCGTTTCCCTGTAAATTCACCCTGGTCGCAATTTACTTTAAGAGTTATTGATAATAAAAATAATAATATTGAATATGATAGAAGCATGTTGAAAATAAAAGGCTGTATTATTTTTAAAAATCAATATCGCCCAAATAAAACTTATTTAACAAGAAATAATAATGTTATGCGCTTTATATAGACAAAGATCAAATCAATACAGTGCAACCCCTGTATAGGAAACGGGCATATGCATAATGAAGTGTTTTTTATTGAAAGAGTTTCATCATCAGGAGGTTGGATTATAAATATAGAATATCCAAATTAATTTTTAAATCCGTTTTTTATGAAAAGTTTTTTCCCTAAGTAAAATTGTCACAATAGAGGTTGCACTGTATAAACAATTTAATCGAGTATTATATTTTTACTATGCAATTTTTTAAAAATTATTTCACCCTGGTTTGCTAATTATTTTTCCTTGATAAAATATTGATAAAATACAAATAGCAGCTGCACTTAAATATCATTTTATCTGTATTTACAATACATGTTAATTCAAGTTTATTTTACTTATATTTTATTTAAGTTTATATTTTATCTTAAGCAACTTTTAATCTATATTGATTGATTACTTAGAAATTTGTCTTGTAAGAATTTAACAATTACAATTAAATTTTGCAACATTAAAAATGAGTAGTATTTATTTCAAATTTCAGATGCAGTTTAAACATTAAAGCAAATGTGAATAGAAATATAAAATAATTATCAGCAAGAATATTAATTATGAATGCAACAGGTAAGTTCTTAAATTATTAATAAGCACGAAATAAATTTTGTACTTGTATATATTTTAATTTAACCCTTCCTGTGTATCGTTAATAAAGTACGTAAATTGTATCGTGGTTGGAATTTAATTATAGGGTTTAATTGTACCGTGGCTGAAAAATAAATTGTCATATTTAGTGTATCGTAGCTGGTTTTTAGGCCAACATAAATAACGCTTTATTAAAGCTATTGAGTATGTTTTCGTATCATTTAAAATTAATAAATAATATAATTAAAATGTTATCAAACATTGAAATATATCAATTGCAATAACTATTGTAAATTGTTATAGTTAATTAAACCTTAATATGTTAAATAAAAATCAATTATTAATAGTTTACTAAACATTTTATTATTTCTCAGTTTAATACATAAAATTACAAAATGGTTTGATTAAAAAATTATAATTAAATTATTATTCGTTTTGGGTGTAATCTTTATCAGCACAATTAGTACAATAGATAACCATATGGTGCTCTTTGCATATTAATTTTTGACAATCTACACACTTTATTGTGCATTGTTTGTTCGCATTCCGAGGACATGCATAACAACGTGTTTGATTAGCATTTGATGATTTGATTCTCTTATTTGAAATGTTATTTTGATTGCTTTGAATTTGAGGTGAATTTTCAGTTATTCGTTCAATAATTAAACGCAAATCACGACTAAGTGTCTTAATTGAAAGTCGACTTATCATTAAATCTAACGCTAAATCTCGTCCCAATGAATGCAAAAATTCTCTGCGTTTCTCTGTCTTTATTGGGTGTGGATTTTTGGATTGAAACAAATGCTTGTATACTATATAACTATTAACTGCCATTATATCCAGTATACAATAAAATGCCGCCGTTGGCCATCGTTTAGTTCCTCTCCCTGTAGTATATGTTGAACATAGTTGGTCCAACGTATCCACACCTCCTTTAGTTTTATTGTAATCATTAATCATTTGCGGTCGTGATGTTAGACTATCAATGGGCTTATCCCTGTGCCAAGTGCTTAACAGTAATACAACTTTATTTTTCTTGGGATAATATGCTAACAAAGTGGTGTCATTTGTTTGTACATATTCTGTGTGTCCTACCTGCAATTAAAAATTGTATAAATATTAAGTAACCATGGTAAATTTAAGTCAATATTTAGTGATTAAAGTGTACAATTTCAATCACTATAAGCTATATGTATATACCGGTCGTTTTGTCTTTTGAAGTAACCTTTTGGGTATTTCTCTTTTATTCTTCTTGAGTGTTCCCAAAATTGTGAGATTGTGTTTTAATAACTCATTGGCTAAGGGAAAGCTGGTAAACCAATTATCGCACGTAATATTACGTCCACTTCCTCTCAACCGCTGAGTTAAATCCAATACTATATTGGTTGCAATATTAGTATTACGTTTACCATCTGATGGCTTTCCAGTATAAAAAATACTATCCCAACAGTAGGCATTTGTCGCATCACATATTATAAATAATTTCAATCCATACTTAGCCGGCTTATTAGGCATATATTGCTTGAAACTCACGCGACCTCTGAAACCTCTTAGCATTTCATCAATGGTTACGTTTGCGGACAACTCGTAGTTATTGCGACAGTTTTTGCGAAACAAATTAAATATTTCGCTAAATAATGCCAACTTATCACCAGATTCCTTGCGCGCCTCTCTTGAGTTGATGTGATCAAAGGTTAGGTTTTCAGTAATGAATTGAAATCGTCTTAAAGGCATTACTCCTCTAAACAAATCACGTCCTCTTCCTGTTGTGTCCCATAAGTCGCTCACATTTTCATGAGCAGATCTATGGACACCTATTAGCATACATAATCCAATATATGCTAACATTTCTCTATTGTCTGTTTTATGATTAAAACTTTGATGTTTTTTCACTTTTGATGTATCATTCATTTTTGCTGAGATCTTATCATTTGTATAGTTAACGATTAACCGCAACATATCATCAGTTAAAAAGCGACGAAATGTTGATTGAATGTCATTGCATTCAGTTTCAGTGAGTTTGGGCCCCTCTTTGAAACGATATATATTACATGATGGGGTCTTTGTTGCCGTCGATGTACTTGGCTGTGATTCTTGTGATTGCGATGTAAATGTTTGTTGATTATCATTAGTATTTATATCATTACTTTCGTCTGAATCGGAATAATATATCGGATCTGAATCGGAATCAATTTCATTATCTGTGTCACTGTTGTGTTCACTCATTTCTGTATTGTTTGACTCTAAATCACTATCATTATCAGAAAATGTATTGTCATCTAATTGCTTAGATATATCTTCATTTGTGAGTAATTGTTTAGCCATATTTGTTAGTATTTAGGTTTAGTCACATTATAGATAAAACTAATCACAATAGTAATTATATAATCAAACAATAATTGTGTTTAAAATGTTCACAAATTACTCACAATTTGTAAACAAAACAATGATCACATGTCCACTCCCTCACCAATGTGTAGAGTGTGCGCAATAATATCCACTTATACTTATCAAACAGTCTATATTTGATTTTTAATGCTGGACGATTTATCAACCAGTGTACAATTTATGCATCAAATATTGGTAGCACTGTTTATACTATAGGCATAAACTTACATTAATTGTATAGTGGCTGAATAAAATGAAATATTTAATTTACTCATTATTTATAAATACTTTCAAAAATATTAAAGTGCAATAATTTTATTTCTACTCACGCTGAGGCATATCTGAAATATTTTGTCTATTGAATTAACAGATAATTTTATAATTAATTTCAAACATCGATTGGCTTAAAAATCAGCCACGGTACAGAGGAAGGGTTAAAATGTTTATACAAATTCATCTCTCTCTTTCTCCTTCTCTCTCATTCATATAATACATAATTTATGCATTTATCCAGAATCAGCATGGTTATTACTGACGCTCATATTATGCATACCCGGAATATATATGATGGACAAATGTCCCTCCGATAGAACCATATTCAAACCGTGCGATTGCGTTGACATTATCGACAGTAAAGAATTGACCTGTGAAAGCGACAAGATTACCGACATCAAGGCACTATTTCAAAACATTAGCCGCAAGCTAAACGGCCATGATAAAACATTCAATGTATTAATTCTACACAACATTGAGGGCGTAGAGTTGCCAGCAAACGCGTTTGCGGACTTAAAATTCAACGAGGTGAGAATGTATAAAATTAAATTACTTAAGCACATTGACAGCCATGCATTCTCTGGTACAATGGACACTCTACACAGTATAGACCTGGCCGATTTAAATCTTACGAACACCGAGGACATTTTGGCGGTAATTAACAATCTGCCAGAATTGCGCCTGCTACAACTATACAACATGCACTTAGGTGTATTGCCTAAAAATGCGTTTAAAGGGGCACCAAAATTGACAGGAATTACCATAATTTACGATAAGATTAATACGATTAGTGGCAACGCTTTTATGGGTTTGGGCGGTAGTGTGCGTCACATAGAGTTTTTGGCCGTAAACATCTCTACTATAGGGGACCAAGCGTTGGTATTTGACGGCCCGCTGACATCAAATGTGCGTTTGATTTTTACCCATGATACATTTTGCAAGTCAAATATTAGTAAAACGGCATTCACCGACGGCACTCGACCTGTCACACTTGAATTGGTGACATTACCCAAATATTTTGATCTACCCTATCTGGATGTTACCGTATTTTCCGGGTTTATGGCTGCCAATAATGCTAATGAGTTGATAGCGCACGTGGACTGCGATGAGTGCCGTAATCAGTGGCTTCAGAGACCGGAGTTTGTCCGACAAGTGATGGGTATTTACTGTACAAATGACCGCTCACTTTATGATAAACTTAATTTTGCCGGATGTTAATGTTGAACATGGTTCAATCTTTAATAATAAAATTAATAGGAAATTATTAGATAAATATTTGTTGTTATATAAGGTGTAATAAATAATTGGATATATTTATCAATATATTGTTGTTATAAAATTAATATTAAAACACCTCAATGAATCACAAATATATTATGTTTAATTGATTTTATAAATGAATAGTAAATGCCCAAAATATATTACAAATAAATTTAATATACAGAAATTATTGCGTCTATTACATTTACATACACTGAATAATATTTGAATAGAATAATTAATTATAATAAAATCTACAGTAGATAAATTATTAAGAGTAAAGGTATACTTAAGATTATACACAATTAGGTAGATTGTGTTAACAAATAGTCATAAAAGTTGTAATTCTTAAAAGTATTAATAATTAAATCTAATTAAAAACATTAAATATGATATTTTAACTGGCATTATTATAATTAAAATTACACCATGTTGTAAATATATAAAATTATAATTTGTGCATAAAATTTAAGCATTCATATAATTATCTAGATTCTAGAATAATATAGCTAATGTGATGCGACTCTAATTCTTTCTGCATTAAATACAGGATTGATTACAACATTTTGATTAATAATAATTTGACGATTATTATAGATATAAGGTTTATATTTGTTAAACAATTGTACAAATAATTTGGTAAACATAATTATAGATACGCCAAACCATAGGCCCAGTAGTGATCCCATGAATACCACGTACTCTTCAAATGCCATTTTCAATGATACCTCGTATATCATATCGGGCTCTGACGGTATCTGAAAAAATATTTCTAACTTATTTTTACCATGATCTCGCTTTTCAAATTTATAATTGAATGTATGGTAATGTTGTATACATTCTATACGATCATTGCATGAATGCCTGCAATACTCTGCAATATCATTATCATCGTTGGGCCCGAAACTTGCCGTACGATTGCTTTTATCAATATCTTTAAAGTAAATGTACTCTAAAGGGAATACAGAATATTTAAACATTTAACATTGTTAAATTTATATTTCAACATAACAGTAGATTTGCGATACTTAATCTCGCACCGAGTCACTTCATCGAGCGGAATTCTTAACATGTGTTTCCAGTAAAATTCCCGCAACTTATTTGATCTCGAGTGGAAGTGAACGTATATAGTATCCTCAATAAACGTATTATTCACCACAAACGACAACAATCGGTTTGTATTACCCCTGGTGTCTAACATATACCTGCTATCCAACTCGTCCGACCATTGAGATAGTACTGTCCAACACATTATATTGCGCTTGGTAGAAAGACCTGTAGTGATTGAAAAATTATAATTTTGAGTTTTGGTTTTATTCATGGTTATGCAAAACAAAAACTTATATTTCAAATACTACTAACCTGCACGAGTGGGTGCGATGTTATTGCATGGTATTTTTGGGTTTGAACCATAGAGACAATTATATATGCTATAATTATCTACCTGATCAATTATTTCGTCAATTCTGTAATTGGCCATTGGCTGCATATTGATTTTACCGTTGTCTGTTAGCAAGTAGTCGGAATCATTTGGGGTAATTATTGATTTTAAAACGGGATCAATATGTGTGCAAATGGTGAGCCCCGGCGGGTACAGCTCTGATGGCGATTCTGAGCGTATGGTTGTTGTGGTTTCGTATGAGAAGTATATTAAACTCATTTTATACGTTTGGTATAGAAATCCAAATACTAATAATGCTTTTAATAGTAAATCATTGATAGAAATTTTAGGAAACATTTTTTTGTAACTCATTAATATTTTTGGGCTCAATATTACAACAATAATATGTTCAACGAAATGTAAAATGAATAATATTTATAAAGATAGAAATTAAGATAAAAATATATAAATTAATTTTATTATACAAAAATTGTTATGCCAAAAATTTACGTGTTAAATTGAGCCAATAACAGTTGCTTATTATAATTAAATATAATAATATTTGACAATAAACCAAGTAATATTGTAAGTAAACAGGTTCGCTATGGTTACATTATTAAATCTACAACAAAATTATAATAAATTATCTATTACATAATTTTATAGAATAATTATGTAAATGATAATTAGATTTTGCTGTATTATAGAAATTATATTTAATCAATAAATTATAATTGAACATTTATTTACTTATGGTCATCTAATCAAAATAAAATATTACATTATTGTAATAAATATTTAAATGTTTATTTATTATTTATTAATTAAAAACTTATTTTATAGATTAAGTATAGAAATCCATTTAATCGCAATGTTATCGACAAACGACTTCATCTATCATTTTAATTAATCACAATACCTAAATCATTTATTCTACCCTATCTGAATGTTACCGTATTTTTCGGGTTTATATTTGCCAATAAGTCTAATTAGTTTATAGCTTGGGTGAACTGCAATAAGTGTCATAATCAATGGCTTTAGAGTTGATTAAATTTTTTGCACTTTGATTTTATTAATTCTAAATTTTATAAATTATTATTTTTAAATAATCTATATAATTTTATTTGTAGATTTATCAATGTTTTGTTGACAGTATTGTATCAGCAATTGGTTGACAGCATTGATGTCCGCATCACTCGAGATCAAATAAGTTGCGGGAATTTTACTGGAAACACATGTTAAGAATTCCGCTCAATGAATCACAAATAAGACTCAGTTTTCGGTCACAAAATATTTTTTGTGAATTTTAGTTTTTTTCATAAGTGTGTTTCACAGCCACTTGTATCAGCAATTGGTTGACAGCATTGATGTCCGCATCACTCGATTCACGCATTTCTTCGCATATATTCACAAATATATACAGTTTTCCCAAAACGTATGGATTCTGGCATTAAATAAAATAAATGTTTTAATGAAAACTAAAATTAATTATGAATTAAATGATTTAATACTTGATTCAAATTAAAACACTTTTGATGAAATCTATCGACAAGATTTTGATAACACTGTCTATTATTGAGCTCTTGTTTAGTGTTTAGAATAGCATTGCTATCGACTGTCAATAAGTGTTGAATACTATTCACGTATTCAGACATATGTTTGTCCACATATTGTCTGCCATTCAATAAGATTTGCAATTTATCATTAAGACTATTACATAAATAAATGTAAGATTTATTTTAAAAATCAAAGTTTTGGCATTTTTCTAGCATATTTATTTATAATACAAATATACCTGTGCCTCTCATTGGTATCTTTAGCTTCGTCTATAGCTATTCTGGCCATATATAGCGGCACATCTATAGTATTTACCCTATCGTTCATAATATGATCAAATATAATATCACCTTTAACCAATTTTGGCGATTTTCCTAAAATTACAAAAATACTATTAAACAAAATAATATCCTACATGAGTGATTTTAACATAACAACAATATTTAAAATTTTAATACCAAAAAACTGTGATATGGGCAATTTTGCAATAGATAAATCACCGTATTGTTGAGGTTGTTGAGTTCCATCACTTATATCCAGGTTACTTTTGTTAGCAGATGAGTAAATATACTCAAACTGCTGTTGTAATGTTATTTCATTCCAAAAATCATTAAGCTCGGTATTTCTCATCCAGTAATATGAAAATAATGTGCCTAGATTCAATTAAATCACTCAATTATATAAATATCCAATAATATACAGCATAAATATAACTATAATTTATGTCTGCTAGCTGTAATTTATTAATATATAACTCACCATGACAAGTTTGGAAAATTTTTTCATGGCAAAATGCCTGCCACCCGTCCTGATCAGGCAATGTAGCGGACACAGCGTACACGTCAATGTTATTGGGCAAAAGTTTGTGAAACATCGAGCCTAAATAGTTTAACAATATATAATTATACTAAATTACTTATCATGTTTATGAAGCTTATAACTATACAATGTATAATATAAATATAATAAATAATTGATTACCTGATTCGCATGTGTCTAGGTAAAATACTAGTTTACTATATCGTTTGTTTATATGCATTTCCTGTAGAGCCGTATTTAACTCTTCGCCCCATAAGTACTCAGAGGGAAACCAAATCATATCTAAAAACATTATGATTTAGAGAGAAAAAGAGAGAGAGAGAAAGAAAGTGATATTAAATTTAAGTTAAACCTGGTAATCCATGATTGGTAAAATAAACAAATATATGATCGTCGGGTCCACTGTTGACTACTGGTCTCCCACTCCGGGCTAATGTCTGGTCCCCTTTAAGTACACTTAAAAAGTTCTGCATAAATGATAATTATTTAATGTTATTCTAGTTACTTTGTATTTAACAAACTATTTATTACTATTATGATTATAATAAATTTTATAATAACATACGGTAGGGTTGACTTCATCGCCGGTATAGTGTTTGGGCACTCCGTGATAGACATCAGTCTTGTTGTAATCATTGTATACTTTACCGGGCGTTGGGTTAACCCTATTGTTAGCGATATCGTCGTAATGCATAATAATTATGTTTTCATCGGGAATACCATTCCCGCGGAACATGTGGTACGCGTGGTATACATTAGCCTAGTGGAATGATAATTTTAAAATAGTAATTTTATTAATAAACTTAGTTAATAACTTACATGAGAAGCATAGTTTATCCATCTGCTACCACCCGAGCATAACACTACCCATATTTTTCCTTTAAATTCATCAGGTTCACAATATGCCGTGAAATGCATGGACAAAGTAAATATTAAAATAAAATTTGATATAAACATTGTTAGAATAAAATAATTTGTAAATCAAATATGTAGTATATTTTAAAATATGTAATAATATAAAACAATTAAATTCTTATATTTGCAACATGACTTATATACAATTGATTATGATAATTTTTAATCTCACTCTACTTTAAAATTTGTTCATTGCAAAATTCTATCATTATTATTAGCAATAATTGATTGCATATTGTTTAATCAATATCAATAGTATTGATTCAATACCCATGATCATAGTGTAGATAATATTAAAGTAACACGTAGACTTATAAGTTATTATCTTGTAATTTCTTTTGATTAAGTATTTCTCCGACACTTGAACTTTTTTGTTGATAATAGAATAATTTTTAATTGTAAATGTAACTTATCTTAATGCAAGATCTTAATTTATTAAATAATTATTTTAAAAATTTATTGATTTCTTTATGAATAAAACTTATTATTATTGTTATAATTAATATAATTATTTTTACAATATTTTAGGAGTAAAACTATATTTGTAAAAATTAAAACAATTATTTTATTGTATACTTAACTTAATTAATATCTTAAAATTATTCTTGTGTGAATACAATCAGCTGTTTAGTACAGATTAACATAGATACAATTGTTGCACCCAATTTACTAATCGAATTAAATTACTAGATAATTGTGCAATGTTTAATATTAAAAAATTAAATGGTATAAATACTGACGAACTAGTGTGATTAGTAAAAATTATTATTTATAAGAACTAAATTTTTAACAAATTAATTTTGTAATAATAATAAATACTAATTACAATACAATAATAATAATTAGTTTGTAATAATAATAATTAGCAGCCATGAAGATATCAGGTAAGCTTCAAAAAATATAATTTTTAAAACATCCAATTCGTCAACAAGAGCAATTTGATACTTGATATAATTTATAAATCATAAAATAACTCTCTCTTTTACTCTCTAAATCATAATGTTTTTAGATATGATTTGGTTTCCCTCTGAGTACTTATGGGGCGAAGAGTTAAATACGGCTCTACAGG